GAGAAAAGGATGGAAGGATCCTGTTCATATGGACCTGTCGTCAGACAGAACACTAAAAAAAAGTTCCGCTTCATCTTTCGCCCTGAAAAAGAAGACGATATGTTCCTCCGAAACGTTGTTTATCCAAATGAAAGACCACGTGACGTCACAGCTGCGTGCGTTCGTAACTGCGAGACAGGACGCTGATAATTATATCGGCTTACGACGTTTCGAAATGAGGCCTTACTTCCAGCAAGCGACGGCGACGTTCCTGATCCGATTTGAGCGTCGGACCGGAATTAGTCGTGGTTTGGCTTCTTTCCTGTGACGAAAGAGCTCTGCCCCGTCGAGTGGGCAGAAATTCAGTGAGGGAAATCCTCTTAGTGGAGGTCTGTAAGCAAAGGTCCGTGTACCAATACCGGCCTGAGTTGCTTTGTTCCCGACGAGTGGATTGAACATTATAATGAGTCAAAGGCGAGTCGGCAAGTACTTACAATTTTGTTTTGTCATACAGATAATTGAAAACATAAATGACTTTCGTATTCTCTGGTTAAAATGGTCATGAATATTTTTCATTTAGTCGTCACAGTGTCGTGGGCCTTGTGCCGCTGGGACCGTGGGTTCGAATCCCACTCAAGCCATGGATGCTGTGTTGTGTACAGGTAGAGGCCTCGCGAAGGGCCGATCCCTCATCCAAGGAGTCCTACCAGAGCGGGACAAATGCTAGTGAAATACTTCGTAGCTTCGGAGTTCTGACGCCGAGTGTCGAGGGCTGTCGAGGTTTCAAGCTTCATGAACTGGGAATCCAAACAAAAATTAATTTGAGCAAACTCACACAAATGCAACGTGAAGTCACGGACTCTTACGGCCGGGATTCGATTCCCATTTGGGGTTTTCTATTAGCCATCACTAACATTTTAGAACGTCGTGGCTGAATGATAGGTTAGATAAACTACCGGGCCGTGGAGCTGAGGTCACGTCTGAAGTCTAGACCGAGGTCACAAATGCGTGGAGCCTCAAGTGCGCTCGTGCATACGCCTTTGAAGGACATGGAAAAATTTTCCAAGTTTCATAAATATCAGTTTCTAGTGAGATAATAATTTTTAAGTCAGTGCTGTTACTAAGGCACTGGATCTTTGAGTATCTGAAAGGAATTCAGCTGAATTATTGATTGGGCAAATTTTATATTAATTGTTACTAAAGGATGTTGATTTAAGTAAAACTGAGAGTTTTCTTTAGACATGTAAAATCTCAATACGCACTAATTGGAAGTGACTAGGAGGGACCTAACCTCTTTTTTTTAAGTAGGTATTAAGGTAACAAGAAACCACAATTAAGGAAAGAAGAAAAGAAGAAAAGAAGGAAAGAAGGAAAGTGCGGGGGTTAGGAAGGAGATGAGAGAAATAGGAGACGCACTTATTTTATAATCTCTTCGGATCTTTTGTTGCTACATTAATAGTTGTATTTCAAGGTCACGCTTTAATGAGAGAATTCCGTGATGATCTCCTGGGTTTACTAGGGTCAGAAACGTAATGAGGGAAGAGACAATGATAACCCGAATCGGTCTCAGCGTGTCGAGGTTGCTGATAACCACCAGTTGCCGAGAGTTGCGTAACTCGTAACACTGAAGATAATTATTTTAGTCTCTTAACGGTGGTCATTATCGGAGTAGGTTCGACAGCGAACGTCGTCTGTGTAAAGGCATACAAGGCAGTGGTCGTGACCTGATTTAAAGAGCTGGTAAGTTACGGAGTTACTGAAGAAAATTTAGAGAAAGTCATTGAATACGGTTGTTTAGAGATCGAACTCGGGACCTCCTAAAGTATAATTGCTGAGCACGTGACTAAATCATCAGGTTTGTGGATGTCTTTGTACCAGTTTCGTTCTTATGAATTAAGTAACAGTTGAAGATTGTGGAAAACTTTTAAAGCTTATCGTACATTAAATATTTGGTTTGTGGGCCTCCGCGGAGGAAATTAGACTTGTAAATAGGAACCTTTTAAACATGTTATTCGTGACCAATATTTCGCTGGTATGCTTTAAAGCATATTTTCATGTATCTGTCACACATGCTGATCAATTTGTTTTTTTTTTCCGGATTGTGGCAGCACCTTCGATGTAAGAAAGTTGAGATAATATGCAGAGGGCAGGATAAATACGACATAGAAACAGAACACTAAACTATCGGAGAATAATTCGGAAGAAGGCAACAAAAATTTTCCGACATTCATATCATATTTACAAAACAGAATTGACTGCTAGCGATATTTGCTGCTGAGGACCCGCAAGACCAAGGAACTTTTCCATTGCTGTTGTATGTCTTCGAGGAAACCTTTTGGACAATAACCGAGAAGGGCGAGACGAGGACTCCGTGCGTTCTTACACACTTTTCCGGGATTTACATTTTCATCGTTATTATTCGCTGTTATTAGGATAATACATATTTTCTGACACTTTTCTCTGCGAAAGTTTTGTTCCTCCATAACTTTCTACGTAAAATGCACATATAATTAAGGTCACTAAAGCGCATTTAGGAATAAATTCGTGTGACCACCTAGGGTGTTAGGGGGCTGTGTAATAAACGGAATGAATCAGTGACGGGACTGTGTCAAATGAGGGACAACTTAGATATCATAAATGAAACAAAATAGTGACTGAAATAATTAAGTGTCTACATAGCGAAGTGCATCAGAAAATAAGAGCATCATTACGGATCGGAAATCTCTAACGAAATTAATGTGGAAACGATATTAATATTCTGTCATGTCTTATAGATTTGTGTAGCCACCGCATCTGATATAGCATCGTCAGATAATGCAGTGAGGGTATTTGGCGGCTGTGCCGCTAGGAATTTTAAACGCGGTAACCGACGCAGTGAACGAGCATAGCCGTAAGGTCCTACCGTGCTGTCGGCACAGTCGCCAAATACTATCAGTGCAGAATAGAAAATCTATTATAATGAAAGAAGAATAAGTGATGATAATATTCCGGTAAAGCAGGAAACTAGTGTATTCTTGGACCAATAAGAGAGTTAATCTACATTCTCGACTGCAACTCAATATCGATACCGAATAAATTATTAACCTGTTAAAAAGATTCGGTAGGAAATGTTTTGAACATTGGAAGGCGAGTGCTTTGCTGATGACAATACAAGGAACATTTCAATAAAATGTATAAATGAAAATGACAATTCTTGTTTCCGGTGCTGATACATGAAATGCATCAGTATTTAATGAATAATTATGCATCACGTCGTTACTATGAATACGAAATCCACACTAAATTCGTAATAAATTTGTTTTTGTTTTTTTCAGATTTGGTTCTAGATAATGTTAAACAATATATTTGCTCACACTGAAATAATGTTCTGTCTTTTTCTTCGTGCTTCGATAAAACTGAAATTGCTATCACGTGCAACTACAAATAAAATAGATAAGAATTCTAACAAATCTCCAACTGGACGTTTCGCATTTCCCCATCAAACTTCTGAACTCTTTACCTAACTTGTCAGTAACAGAGACAAATAAACTCGTATCATTGGGGAGTCAGAAAATAGACATAACAGTTCAGGGCTTGTATTTAACAGTGAAATGGCGTAGATCGATAGTACTTATATCGAGTTGACGGGGCGAGGATTCAGTCCAGTCACGATGCTCGCCTGTTCCTTCCAAAGCAGGAGTTAAGTGAACAAAACACAGTCGCCTCGCGACCGGCGCAGTCTTCAGTCTGTCTGCCTCTTTTAGGTTAGGTCGTGCCTGAGCTTTTATGTAACAATTAACTAAGTATATAACTAAAATAAGTGAAAAATGTGAAACTTACATAACTTCGTGTATTCGTTCGTTAAACGTGACTTTTCACAGATTGAAGCATCTGTGAGTTTCCTTAATTCGTGATGGGAAGACGGATTTCTTAAACTTAGAAAACATTCAGAAAAAAGTAAGTCTTTGTTTGTTTGTTTACGTTTCATATGATGGGAAGACGGATTTCTTAAACTTATAAAACATTCAGAAAAAAGTAAGTAACTGTTTTGTTCGTTTACGTTTCATCCATAATTTATTCATGTTAATTGTGTATGTTATTGGAACAAACTCATTTTATTGTTATATTTTTTATGTAAATTTAACTGCGGTAAATACAGGTAAAGATAACTTAACTTTAACAGAATGTTATCGAACATTTTTCTACCTATGTTAACCCCAAACGCTGGAATAAATTATTGTGACATAATTAAGATAATATTAAGCTTAAGTATCAATTGGTGATCAGGTGTTGTGCATTCTAAAGGTGACAGTAAGACAACCAATCATATATTTATATATTTTAAGAAACGATATAATTTTATTACGAAACTAATATTATATTGCTTTCTATTGGTGTTAAACTTGGTCACGTAAATGGAGTATCGAAAAGGACGAAAAGGGCATATGAGAACTGCACAAAATTATTTTTAAAAGCGACCACTCGGACGACCAAAGTGTAGATGACAATTTAGGAGGGGATGTCTCGCTTGAATTAATGTGGCTCAGGACAGGGACGGCCAGGGGGTGAAGGGTGAAGGTCCACGGTAATCTCCTTATCAAACTGAAATTACGCTTATTATACCAATTATGAAGGTCATTCAAGGCTCGTGGTCATGGTAAGAGCGGTGATACTTGTGTGCGGTCGCCATTGCAAGAATTTGTTAAAGTTTCTGATGCTTCAGGACCACCTTAAGACGTGGCTCTAAATCAAATCTAAATGATACGCTGCGAGTTGTAAGCCGTCTTCATCCGCCTGTCGTCTGCGACGGAGAATGAGTTTGCTGTGACCTTGAAGTGTATAATTTGTTGACGACCAATACAGTACGCGAGAGATGCAGGTTGCTGGCCGGAAATACAGGGTCTTGGTCCTTAACCCTTTGAAGCCGAAGCTCGTCTTCATAATATTTACGAATCCAGACCGTACCGCGAAGAAAACACTTCACTTAACCATTAGAAGTCGAATCAGGCGGTACCACATAAGATTTAACAAAAGAACATCCCGGTCAAAGCCTTGATGTTTGAATTATGACGTTTCTGATTCCCAATAAGAGTTCTGACACCGTTTTGTTCGAGTACACGGTTGATTTATAAATCTAGTAAAAGAAGTTTTCTCTCAGTTTCCAACCTCAGCTGTTCGGTGTCTTCGAGGCTTTTTAATCTCCAAATTGTGCTGTAGAGGCCGTGAAGTGTCACTTAATATACGAAAGCATTCTAGTTCATTTTATCTTTTGGGAGACAGAAGACCGAACTCTGATTTCTGCACTTGTTACGACTGAAATTAAATAATTATCAGGGGGACATCTTTTCAGAATGTCTCATTGTTAGTCTGACCTTTAACCTTCGATTTCTTACGCAAATTCACGTCCACAAAGATCATGACGAAGTTAGTGTGCAGGAGAGATTGGAAAATTCCACTCTGTCAGTAGCAAACCGAAGAGATAAGGGCGCAATCAGTAATGATCGCCCTCGAAGGTTAAAACATCTCAGCAGACGCCAAAACTTGGAAAGGGGCGCCCCCCCCTTCAGCCTTAAAAGACCTGCTGATTAACAAAAGAGCCTCGTAGAAAATGTACGGAGACAGCGTAAAACTTCTTCTTTGTAGGTTAAACACAGGTTTTATTTAAAAATTCTTGGTCTGTGATTACTGATAAGTAGACCTTGAACACGGCCTTTCGTCCTCTCTACTTCCTTTGTGGCATTTTAGGTAATTCTTTTAATGTCGGTATGCTTTGTTTAGTTGTCACGTGATAGGCGGTGTGGGATCCGAACCATGTGACTGTTTGGTCCTAAGAGAGATGAATTACTAGGAGGCTGGAGAAAGTTGCTTAATGAGGAGCTCCATAAGTCAAATATTAATTGATTAAGTCAAGGCGGATGAGATGGGCAGGGCACGTAGCCCGCATGGGAGAGAATAAAAGAGATCACTAGGAAGAGGGATGGGAGGATAATATTAAAATGGATTTTGAGGAATAGGATGGGGTGGTATGGGCTGGATTCATCTGACTCAGGATAGGGACCAGTGCCGGGCTCTTGTGAGCACGGTAATGAACCTTCTGGTTCCATAAAATTTTTGGGAATTCCTTGAGTGGCTGAGCGACTGTCAGCTTCTCAGGAAGGACTCGGCTTCACGAAGTATTCATTTCTGAGACGGCTCAGGGCCTGTAAATTATCTTCCTAACGTGACGTAACTAGACGGAGTGCGTTGTCTACTGGCTCTGAGTGATGCACGTCATTTGAAGAAACTGTGTCCTCTGCTCAAGGAATAATGCTTTGAACTTGTATTTTGTTATCATTTGCATTCAACTTAGGATATTTCTTTTTGAAGGGTTGTCTCTGGAACCCAGGAAATGTTTCCTATCCACATGGGATTTTCCGCTGCTCCGTTAAACTGCCAAACTTAGGCACTCGGACTGGGGGGACAGTTCCCCAAGGGTCAATTCTAGGGCACTTCGTTTTCATAATATTCTTAAAGGACCTCTGTCCAAGAATGTTTGCTCTCCCTGTAAGGTCAGCGGCCTTAATCTCTGAATAATACTTTAATTACATGCAAGTGTGTCAAACAACAGATATCCCTAGAACGGGCTAAAAATTCTAGAGCACGACCTATAAAGACGATTAAGAGTTTATCGTCTATGTATTATGTAAATAATTTACTTGTGATTGTAAAGTGTATGTGCACAGAAGTAAACACCTTTCTCGCGTGGGTTAATTGCAATGACCACAGTGTTCGTGGTGGCAGGACCGCCATTTCAGAAGGAGGCCACGAATATAAGCGATGGGATTTCGTAAAAATATTATTGTCTGTAACAGCTGTAGTTAGGATCAATATACGTCGATTTCCAACGCCACTGCTACGACAAACATGCAAACGCTCGTTTCTTAAGCGAAATTGTTGCAAAATAGAGTCTTTCGAAGGTTTTCGCAACGTGTTTAAACATCTCGTACTTCGAAACGGATAATCTGCGACCTCTTTGCTGGACCGGGTTTTTTGTAGAACTGACAGTGGTTTTGTATTTTTGGAATTCAAGCGGTTGACGTGAAAAATGTGTTTCTATTATTCTTAGAATTCGATTAATCGAAACGGACTTGCGATGATTTCACTGTGCAGGCAGATAGCTTTGGGAATTAACTTTTGCGGAAAAGAGGGTTTTTTTGGGGAATTTTGTCAATTCAGGCCCCCAACTGAAATATTTTACGTAATGCGCTCATATATTTCATGTCAACTAGGAGCTTTCAGAATGCAAAAGTGCGAAGATCTAATCGTGGTCATCGTCCATTGCATGCAAAAGTGCGAAGATCTAATCGTGGTCCATTGCACCAGCGCGCATGAAATTCTGTCACTGGGTCATTCGGAAATGTTTCTGTAATACCTCGTGTTTGTCACCGACGAAGCGATGTCTGCGAAGACCCGATCACAAATCATCTTAATATTCCCATTATCTTCGGTCTTCGGGTACGTTTCCGCGGTCACTTCATGAACGTCTGACGGTCTCTGTCTGGTCGTGGAGGGCCCACCTATTCCGAAAATCATATCCACTCCTTGAAAGTAGGCTGAAGTCTATGGACCGCGGATATGATTTTGTTTAAGAAAAATTATGTAAAATTATCCATTTTTATCGTAATCAAGTAACTATTCTCGTCGTAGGAACACAACAGCATTTGGATTGTATTAATTGACTTTATACTTTTATCTAAGGACTTGGTAGTGTCCTTTGTTACCAAACAGTGGCACGGATGACACGATTAGCCAAGCGGCGATCAAGGACACCAGAAGTGAGGCAGGGCATGGATAAGAGAGGTTTGCTTTTCTGACTTGAATGTTGACCCGGAACGTCGCTCTCTGCAGATCGCTTATTCCTACTACAAGTCTTCGGGCTTTGTTTTTGCAATAACATGGCTCCCGTGCTAACGTTTAGTAGTCTAGGACCTACGCAAGTAACTGGCATTTTCTATGCGGCTAAATCCTTGAAATAAATTGTGTTTTTAGCATTACTAAGGCGAAACCGCGATGGTAATTTATATTTTACACGTTCTGAGATTTCCTTGTTAAATTGAGGCTTCTAAGAGTGAACGGAAAATGTAACTGAGATGTAAAAGCTGAGACAAGAACGGAAAAAGCTCTTAGTTTGATGTTGTTACACTGGGCAATGTTCTAGAGCGAACTGATGAATTGGAAAACGTCCTTGGAATTCAGTTAGTGCGGGAAATGAGATCGTCCCTCAAGATCTCCACACAGTCCTGATTTCCTGGAAACACGTGAGGTGTTTCCAGGACAACGAAGTTTCCATATATTCTAGACAAACATTTGTCTTTTCAAAGAAACTTCAAATGCATGTCAACATGTTTTCTGGCCCCGAAGACAATATTTTACTTTGCTAGCTACTTTCACGATACTTTCACTTAACAGCCTGAAACCAAGCCAGAATGGAACGCGCAAATCACATAGCAGCTGTGTTTAACCCGTGGTCCGCGGAAATTAAATAATTTTCCCCAACAGTTCAACAAAGTATATGTACATAAAAAACAAGCCAGGAAAATAGGAATTTTAAAACGATCTCTAAAAGTGAGGGAATTTGAAATTGGAGGTTAGAAATTAAGTTGGCACCCTTAGCTTGATTCGCGGGAGCAACGCAAGGTCCATCTGTTTGCGATGAGAGATACTAAGAGGCTAGGAAACTTCCAGATGGTTCGAGGCGTCTCGCGCCATTTTCAGGTCGATTTAACTCAAAAGAAGACTAATTGTCAAAAAAACGATGTTGAATATTTATCGACGCTTTCGGCGTATCCAGTTTCTGAACACAGTGCGTGTTATGTTACGAATTATCGTCGAATGATGCCACGGAACTATACAGATTACGAAGACGCTTGAAAGGTCAGCTTAAAGAACATTCTGCCAAATCTGTAGGATTCTTTTAAAATAAAGATCGAGAACTCCGACAAAGTAGGAAAAATAATTAAGAACAGACCAGGTATTACCCAACTCCACTGAGCGTTGTCCTTCTTGAGAAGGTAAATTGTATCCTCAGCTAGTCAAGAAATACTCCGTCTTTTAAGGGGTCCGAAAATGTATTCCCGTGTCTACAGGACCCCACACCTGGTCCAATCCCAAGCCACATGAATCCAATCCACTTCCAAGAAACATATTTCTGAACGATCCACGATTATATTATCTTCCTCACGAAATTTTTAGAGTGATTAAATAAACGATGATGATATGGGTGGGGCATGTAGCATTAAGGGGGATAAAAGAAATGCAATCACTGCAATAAAGCCAACCATCGAGGTGCACTCCGTCGTTTGAAGTAATTAAACCTTTCTTCTAGAGCTACATTAATTATACTTAGCGGCACTTCAACTTTAATTCAGGGCAATCTTCTACGAAATTTAATTTCGTATTTGTCTAGCGTACGTTGACACTTTCGTACCCAAGAATTTCTCCGAAAGATTACACTGAGGCAGCTTGTACTCACGTCATCTCTCTCGCAACTGAGGTCATCCGTGTTTTCAAATCTCGTTGGTTGACTGAGAAAATTTTACATTTTTCTCTCCAGTCACTCTACAGACATTCCAGAATTCGTATTCGGTTGCTCCAGGCCTTGACCTTTGACCAGTGACCACGTATTTCGTATCCAAAACTTTCAACTGGACCTTCTATCCCGTCACAGTAGCATCTCTTACCTAGACCTGCAACCACTGACAAAATTAAAGTTGCATATTTGAAATGAATGCGTTGATTGATCGCAAGAAATCATTTATGCGTTAATGCTTATCAGCGAAAGGAATCTTACCAAAGTCTGTGATCTCCTGGCTGTCGGTTTCACTGTGCATCTGAGCTGAAAGTTTCCACTGCTTGAATGCGGAGAACTTCCGGCAATGATACCGAGTTGACCTTTACAATCTCGAAGTTCATTTAGCTGTTACGACATTTAACAACAATTCCATATGACGGAGAGCAAGGGGTGGGCAGAAGAATCTCGAGAGAGTTCGAACAGACCGAAACGTATTAATTAAATACCTGCGTATTTTATGCGTTCTTTGTACGTCGAGTGTGCTGTGGGGAGGCCGTCATTGTCCTCTGAAACGACGGAGATTTCCGTCACCTGGACACGCGCCTCCTCGGCTCAAGACAGTTGTGCAGAATCGAAAGACGTTTCAATTATCGGAGGGATTACACACGCAATTCGTGTGACGTAATCACTGTTTACACAGCGGTTTCACTCAAGTTGGAATTACGAACGCTTGAAATTACAAATACTTGTTCAGTGCATCGGGAAACACTAGAAATGGAAAGGTTTTCCGGAATTACCATAAATTCTTGGACGTCGTCCATCGTCTGGCACAAAGTTCTTCGAACTAGATCTTCAAATATCCAGCGACTGAAACTGGCTCTTTGTAAAGGACAAAACTGAGCATATGTCCCTTCAGTTTTCGGGTGAGGACGAAAAGAGACGCACCTTCCGAAATGTTAGTCGTCCCGAGTGTGACACACCACGGTCACAACCCTTTAAAACTGACTTGGGAATGTTTCTGCCCATTTTCTATATTTTGGTTCTTACTTTCTGACTCCGACGCCGTCAGTTCACGGATGACGAACACCGTCCCACTACTAGTCATTTGATCTTCCTCTGTTGGAACGATTTCCACTGTTTGCATCGTTATTCTAGTAGCTCTGACTTGCAAACAAACGTCGATTCAGCGAATTACACTAGCGGTCATTTGTCGCTAACACTTCACAGTACTACTCTGTTTCAGGACTCGGGGTCCTTCGATTAACGTGCTCCTACTACTCCAAATTAACACTCAGGATACGTCCGACAACCCTGTCGGATGATAACCTTATTTCAAAGAATCGGTTTAAGAAACATATCACCTTATCTAATCTTGGTGGACAGCGAAAGTTCCGTCTTATTACATAAAGTTAGCTCCTCGGCACAACAAAAATTCTTCGTAAAGCGTACAGAATTTTGCTTTGGTTCTGAGAACGTATGTTAGAATTCCCAAGTGATCGAACGTTTCCAAATCGTCAGCTCATCCATGTGTGGAGCCCCGGAGGAAACCCTCGACTACCAGCCTCAACAGTAGCGGAGCCGTCCCTCGGACACACTAGGCAACGGACAACCCATACACCGTGGCTTAGAGGAAATCTGCAGCGTCCTAGATCAATGCCGTGTCGAAATATCTGCAACATGCCGATTCAATGACCCCCTCGTGAGATTTACACAAGTATTTATACCGCCTAGGGGACTCATCCATTTTGTTAACTGCAAACTTTACCTTATTTTAGGATATTACCCGTCCGGCCTACGCAAAGAAACTGGTTCCTCTGAGCGATCTCTGCCTCGTTTAGCAAAATCAAGAAAAAATAAGTTTTCCCTGAACGCATTTGATTCGTGTTAAATTATAATTAATGTTACGCCAGCGAAAAATGGTGAGAATCCCTGCTCTAGAGAGTCCCCTCGACTTCCGGGTTGTAGTTGAAATTGTCTGACATACTTACGTGTACATACTAGCAATGTCATAACTTACATTCCAGTAAAAGCGATTGATTGATTTCAAATTTTTATAAATATTTGCTCTGCGTACTCCGACCACTTGTGACGTACGTGGAAATAGAAATCTTCCGTCGCCAAGGGCTGCTCAGGTGATAGCCAAAACACGGCTTAGGGGGTCGCACTCATTTCTTGAGAAAGAACTATTTTCTGCACAAGAGACAGGAATGTAAATGCGCGATTGATGACCTGGTACGAGGAGCGAAGTCACAAGTAGGCGTAATATTTATTTTAAAATTTTGAGAATGTAGAGATACAAATGTGATCTCAAATAATTATCACGTGCGAAATTTTAGGTCGGAAAGAAGTCGGTAATGGAAAGTAGGTCGCAATTTTTACATAAAATTTGAACGCACAACTACGATTTAATCAAATTAATTAAGCCAAAGCACAGATATTATGTGATTGATCAGGCATAATCGAAGACGCCATTGAACGTGTTGTAATCGAAGATAATGGAGTGGACAGCCGCAGCGGTCGTGATGAATCGAGTGATATGGAATAATTGGAAGAGGACAGAAGTTAAAATTATCTAATCATCTCCGCGGTGTTAATTTTCTAGTGATGTGTATTTTAGTGAAATCTACAGTAGTATGTCTACTTCTTCCTTAATTGGTGTTTCATTCGAGGGCGTGACCATTACAGTACTTTAGATCTTTGAAGGGTGTGTTTTCAAGATGTGGAGATCTCAACGAGTTTCCAGAATCGGAACATTCTCTCTTCACTCTATCTTGCAAAGATCGAGACTTTCGCGAGCAAGTCTTCGATCCTGTTAATTAAGTGTCGCGTGCAGTTTGTGCGTGTGGATTAAAGTTCGGAGGCAAGAACATGACCACAGTAACTACGGACGGAAGGACAAGGCGCCGAGATCCCAGAACGGGAAGGAATGTTCCTGTAAAAGTACACCGTTTAACATGGTCTGAGAGCAAAGTAAGTCGCGAGTGGCATAGTGTCACGTTCTTTTAGAAGAATCTCGTTATCTCAACACATGATGGGCCGGTTTCAGTTCAGAGATCACTAAGAAATCGTTACATTTGTCAGTGGACCACAAATCAAATATGCGGAATGGGGGGAAATGTAACCGGGGAAGAACGGCAAAGTTATCGCTGCATTTCAGACCCCCTGTGGGGTGAAGTTCCTTCGTCTCACCGTCGCGTTCTGTTTCTGAGTCCGTGCCGAGAGGAACGACGTCAGTAATTGCAGCTGAGGGATTCTCTTAAAGATGACAGGCCTCTTAAATAGTTCTTTAAGTGGCTAACAAACCAACACATTCGCATTTTGTAGCGGAAACTGGGATTCACTTCGAAAGAACCAGGGAGTGAAGGATTTATTTTTAAAAATATATTTATTTTTGTTTGGAGACAGACTCAGTTCTTAAGTGTTAATGCCAATGGACAACCAGTCACAGTGTCCTCTAAGTGGACGCTCTAGGAATACAGTAATGGAATCACACATTTGTGTTTGCCCACGATCTAAGGTTTCTTAATGTGTGTGCAGCAACGGCGCCATGGTAGAGAAGTTGCACACCTATCAGGGCGTCCTCGGTCGCCTTCACGCGTGGCGAGACGCTGTCAGGGCGCAGTGGTGCGCCGTGAAGGAGGAACACTGCCACGAGTGTAAGGATGGAAGTGGGATCCTGGTTCGGCTCTTCGGAAAGAAACCTCCCACAAATGAGACCCAACAGGACTCTCCTTTGAGGGGTGAGACGGCAGACTACTCGCACGCATTCAGGTAAGATTGTCTGGATGTTAGAGGAGTTAGGACGGTGACGACTGCGGAGGAAGGAATATGGAAGGATTTCGTGACCTGTTTGAGAGACGTATTCGAGCAAAATGTCACAGCAGCTTTGCCCACCTCGCGTGTGAGTGGCGTCAGTAATTTGTTTCCTCCTGTGGCCAGTTTCGGTCATTCTTCGATTCCTTGTTCTCTGAAGCCTTGCGCCCTCGCGACCGTCCAACGACGGGACAATCATTACGTAGCAGAACGGAGCCAAGTAACACAATGTTGGTACAAAGAAAGGCATGTTAGTTACATTCCCAAAATATGTTAAACTTAAATAAAAGAAAATATAGCACTGTACAATACTACTGATTCACTTATCGGACGCTGACTGAAAATTTCGACGTGCCGCCATGCGTCCACTAAAGATATATAAGCAACTATCACATCCCGGCTCCACAGAGGAACTGCATGTCTCACCACAAAGAGATACAATTAAATGTATCTATCCGATAAGACGCAACCACTCTTTACGCTTTAATACTTCGAAATACAGGCGAAGATTTCTACCTGAGAAAAGTCCAAAATTTCTCCTCATGAGGTCTCATTTAACTCTTCAATATTTGTGTTCGTTCTACGGACTTTATTCTCAAAGTTATTCCACAAATTAAAGTCGCATGCGGTTTAACCAGGCGAACGCTCTGGCCATGAAATTGTTGTTATAAATATAGATTTCAGCTACGATTGAATAAAAATTTACTTGGATATTATCCATCGTCTAGTAAATATCAAACGTAAAACGACGTTTCGGAGATGGGACTCTATCTCCGTCTTCAGGTTCGTACACAGTTGGGCCCACAAGATAGAGCTAATCCCCAACTGTGTAGGAACCTGAAGACGGAGATAGAGTCCCATCTCCGAAACGTCGTTTTACGTTTTATATTTACTAGACGATGGATAATATCCAAGAAAATTTTTATTTAATTGACTCTTCACCATCGTCAAGAAGTTTTAGATTTGATAGTTATTGTTAATTTGCCAAAACACTTTTCCCAAAGCCGTCAGAGAATCGTCTGCAGTCCGGGCACCTGCTCAGTCCTGCCGAAACTACGCGCACGATCTCACACTCTCTGCGGCCTGCAGGTCATTTTCCTTTGAATGCGAACTACTCACAGACTTTTACCTCATAAAGATCAATTTCGTATACTAAGTATATTAACAGAACCCCGTAAGATATCGTACATCTTTCGGAGTGACATGCATCAGGGGGGCTCAATTCGGCGTCCAGAACAGATTGATCAAGCGTCCTCCTGCATTTTGTGTTATTCAAGAGCGTTTCATATTTACGAAGACGTAAGATTGCACCACTTAAACACAATCCACGCCAGTTTAACCTCAGTTAATGTGTTCGGTCACATTCTCAGGTCAGCCAAATGCTCTTTCAGGAGGAAGACCCGCTGTGAGCTGGTAAGAATTTCGGCTGCTGTGATGGGCGTCGAGTTCTCGTACGCAGCGGAAACTGCGTTCGTCTCGCCCATTCTACTCAAAATCGGAGTGCAACACGAGCACATGACGCTGGTGTGGGCGCTGTCGCCCATCGTCGGCTTCTTCGTCACGCCTCTTCTGGGATCCATCAGCGACCGCTGCAACCTTCGATTCGGCAGACGTCGACCGTTCATACTCATCCTAGCGCTAGGAATCCTCACAGGTCGGTACATCCAACACTTTTCCTTGCAGATGTGTGTTTCGCTGTTTTCGTAAAGTCGTCCGACAGCATTCTTATTCATAGTTTCTGATACGTAGAAGATAGAAGATACCATGAACGGGGATACAGTGAGTTTGTTGAGTAGTCAGTCGTGCTGAGTCTGCGGATTTACGCTAGATAGCTTATACGGAATATTAAGCATAATTTTGACCACAAATAAAAAAAAAACCCTTTCGGAATTTTGTGGATTTAAATTTCTGACAATATCTGGACAGAGACATAATTTTTTTTTCTGAAATTAAAATTACCGGTTACGGAGTTTTATTATTTTATCATGTCTTAAAATCTCATATCAAAAATCTTAAAAAAGATGTAATACGTAGTATAACATTTGATCAGGAGTACTAGAGATAAACATTGTTCAGTGTACACCAGAAGGCTGATGTTCAATTAAGGAAAATGAAGACCTGATCGTGGGCCTTTGAGCCCGAAACGTCCGGTGTGCTCAGTCGTGATGGTCATTTCGTTGTGTTATTAACATTTCACGTCGACATACTGCCTAGGTGAATGATAAATGAAGTCGTGAACGCTCTTCGCGAAAGGTGACCAGCTGGTACTGAACACCCTGTATTTCGTTTAAAGCACGGATGTATTATCAGATCTAAAACTTCTTGACGATGGTGAAGAGTCAATTGAATAAAAATTTTCTTGGATATTATCCATCGTCTAGTAAATATAAAACTTAAAACGACGTTTCGGAGATAGGGATTAGCTCTATCTAGTGGGTACAACTGTGTAGGAACCTGAAGACGGAGATAGAGTCACATCTCCGAAACGTCGTTTTACGTTTTATATTTACTAGACGATGGATAATATCCAAGTAAATTTTTATTCAACGGATGTATTAGTTTCTTGTAATTGACGGTTCTGTTACCGAACGACATCCACGAATTTTCCCAGGGTTGCTGCTGGTTCCCAACGGCGAAGCCATCGGGCGCGCCTTGGGGGACACCTACCCGTCCCGAACTCCCAGCGTCAACTCAACGCTGGAACCGGACGCAAATGACTCGCACCCCTGGAGCGTCATCTTCACCGTGCTGGGAACCGTGCTCCTGGACTTCGACGCGGACGCCTGTCAGAGCCCGTCCAGGTCGTACCTCCTGGACATAACCGTACCAGGTACAGCCTCATCGGCTCCAGGGATTTCACATTTGTTTGCTGTACTTTGATCCTTACTCGAATCTCGGCCCTTTCATTTACTATTTATTCCTGTGCAAGCACTCGACGAGCATCCTAACGAAGGCGCAGTCCTTCCGGTCTCCCTCCTTTCTACCTTCCTCGTCATCTGTGTCATTATTATTTTTATTTAGTGTTCTGTCTGACGACAGGTCCATATGAGCAGGATCCTTCCATCCTTTTCTCTTCTCGGACTGGGACCTGTTCATATACGTTCTTGGCAGATGATCCAGAAGTGGTTTGCCATTGCCTTCTTCTGTGTGTGAATGGAGTAATTGTTGGGATGCCACGGAGGAAAACTCCGTGTTGCCTAGACCACGGCCTTGCCCAACACAAGTTATAAATTCGGGCACCGCCGGGAATTGAACCCGAGGCCCCAGGATTACAAGGCCAGCGATCTAACCTAAGCTAACCCAACCCAAACTAACTTTCTAACCGTACCCAATCTTACCTAACCAAATCTACGACAATCTAACGCAATTTAAACAATTCAAGCAAAACTTTCAATATAAATATGGGTTTATTATCTCCAAAATCAAAAATTGATCGATGCAAACCGACGTCATGGTTCTTATCCCATTCACTGGTCCACAGTCGTCATGGTTCTTATTCCCTTGTTGCAGAAGACCACGCACGTGGACTGAGCACCTTCACAGTAATGGCGGGTCTCGGGGGCTGCATGGGTTACGCCCTGGGAGCCGTCAACTGGGACGTCACTGCTTTTGGTAAGTTAAAGAATGCAGTCGTGGGCATTTACCTCGGAGGCATAATGGAAAACCACGATGCTCTGTTAACGAGCACACATTCAAACCCGAGACTTCCCAGATACGAGGAGTGCTAACCACTGAACTGCAACTTTGATGATTCCTCAGTCTCTTCAGGAAAATTCTGGTGTGCCTTGTAGTAGGATGCGAGGTTTTAACGGCGGTGAGTTCGAAGAACGCCGTCTTCCGGGTTGTAGCGTAGTGTAATCTCCATAAAGCTTACCAACGTTTCACAGGTCGTTGCTGCTTCCATTATCAGGGCGATGAGTCCTTATGATGGAGGCAGAAATGGAAAATTTTTCGTAATGATCATCTTCACGACCTCTACTCCTCACCTTATATTGTTAGGGTAATTAAATCGAGGAGGATGAGGTGGGCGGGGCATACAGCACGCATGGGGAGGTAAGGTGTGTTTACAGGGTGTCGATTGGGAGGCCTGAATGGAGGAGGCCTCTGGGAAGACCTCCGCGTATGTGGGAGGAACGAACTGGATTCAGCTGGCTCAGGATAGAGTCCGGTGGCGGGCTTTTCTGAAGACGGTGATGAACCTTTGGGTTTCATGAGGAAAGTCGGCTATTCCTTAAACAAGAGTATACAATCGACTTCTCAAAGAATTTCCTGCGCCATAGACTTTGTCAGCGATTCGCGTTACATGAGCAGGAGGAGATGGACTGTCACGTGGCATTTCAGACTCCATTTGTGTGCAGATGAGCTAGGATCGTGGCGTTGGAGCTGTGTTTTCCTTTGCCACAGGAGAGATGCTTGGAGGTCACGTGAGAGCGGTGTTCACCCTCATTACGGTGATCTTCGTCGTCTGCGTAGCGGTGACCGTGTCGAGCTTCAGGGAGATTCCTCTGGAACTGCATGATCAGGTAGTTTGATCCGATATTTCAGAAATTGCAATCTCCTGTACATTGGTCGATGTCCCAGTAGAAGCTGTGTCCTCCGGAATGTATTAAGATAAGGCAAAAAATGGATAACCGGACTATCCGAGCATTTTGAGAAGAGTCTCTGGTAGCCTTGAGAGATGATGTGTCGCTCTGCGACCACATTCACTGACAGGAACATTAGTAAATTGTTACAGGAGACGCCCGTGACAATTCTCCTGTGATTGACGTCATCAGGCACGCGGTCACTTCCATTCGTTTTGCGTGAAAACAGGAGAAGAAATCTTCTCTGTCCGGAGTGATCAGTGCCTAGTATCATTCTCCTAGTTAGATTGAGATTTTCTGTCATTTTCCTCCGTCTTGGTAAAAATTCCAAGGCCATGGAGGCCTTCAGTCTTAAGGAAATGTCGTTCATAAGTAAATAATTTTTAAATTCCGCTAACCTCTGTACTTAAATCGCAAGTTTACCTTAAAGTTTCACTCTTCAGGTGTCAAATCCGAAAGAAAAGGCCTCTGACAAGGGGATTCTGGAAGGAGGCGAAGTCGGATCGTACGGGACTGTGGTTCGAACTTCACGGCGAGAATGTCAGGTGAGAGGCTTGCTGTAAGTACCACGAGCCACGTGGAAGCTGGCCGTCCGCGTTAGTGCAGCCACAACGCGTGGTCCTCGTGTCCACTTCAAGCCCGACCCAGGTCTTACGTATTCACATGTTTCCTCAGTATTAATATCGCGAAAGCAGTACTTCGTTCTAACAGATCTCGACTAAATACCATTAAATTCTTCGTGACTGTTCATTTATAAGCATTTCCCACTTAAGAACCAATCTCTTCATAAAGTTGCCTTCATCTGAAATCGGTCCGATGTCGGTCGATCTATTAGGTTGTTACTTTGCCGACTATTGACATCATCTCGTTGTCAGCCACGCACGTGTCGTCATGCACCAGAAAGTCGTTGAATTTATTACGAGGCAGCATAATCTTAATTTGGTGAATGGTGTCACCACCAAGGACACGACAAAATACTCAGATATTTCTTTAAAGTTTCACAGATGCATTAAAACAAATGCATCTCCGTCTCACATTGCTTATAGACAAATCTTGAAATAATGACAAATTTGACATAACGATGAGCTAGTTGCAGTCTCACGCAAAAGTCACTGAACCCGTATTAGAACATTCAGTGCACTTCGACTGGATTTATAAACACACCATCACTCTGACTATACAAGAACCCGCGAAGGTCACGTCTTGTTGTAAAATGTTCCATCACATTTCCATATACATGTACATATGTACGTGTTGTAAATATCTGACTTTGATTTTATCCACGAAGGACCCGTATCACCCAATTGACGGTCTGGACACCGCTGGCAATGGCTACGTCAACTATGGTTATGACGAGAGTTACCACCAAGAAATGAGAATCGAAGAGACATCTTTTATCAGACCCAACACTAAGGTAAGCACGATTTCGCTCTAGTTCGTAAAACTCCCACGGTCTTCTAAATAAAATACAAGATGGCGGTTGGAGGGAAGCGAACTGACTATAAAACTGGAACAGTCCTCTTTCTTAACCTTGAGATTCGCTTACAACTCCGATCTGTTGGCTAAAATGAAAGGAAGGAAGGAGGTGGTGGCTGTCTTCTGGGATGTTACGCCGTGTAGTCTGGTAGAAGTAAGATTCTGTAACGTTTATTTGATGCAGGAAGTGGCCAGCGGCTGTGCTGTTGACAAAACCAGCGCCTCTCTACTGCAGTACCTGCTGTCCATCGTGTACATGCCGAGTTCCCTGCGAATTCTGTGCGTGACCAACCTGTTCTCCTGGAGCGCCCACGTCTGCTACTCTCTCTATTTTACCGACTTTGTAGCAGAAGCCGTTTTCAAAGGCGACCCCAAGGTTTGTCCGATTGCTTGCCATGGTTTTTCTCAGCTCCTCACAAAATATTTTACAGGACTGACTGAGAGAAATACACGTAATATTTATTTGAAAAACCTTAAGGGATCAGATCATAGATCAATGCGAGGTAATCATCTTATTTTCTCTATTAGAAGTTTATTATTATAAGCACTGCCATAATGTTAAATTGGATTAAGATAACTAGGGTTTAAATTTCGATAGACTAAGCTTTGTGCGTTCAAAAAGGAATTTAACAGCTGTCATAAGTAATTTATAACGTCTCTGCTGGTTTCCTTGGGGAAAAAAGTGTTCTTTCTTTAATGTTTATTAAGATTCAGTTTTTTGACATAAGCTCTCAGTCAAAGTGCGTCTGTCTGTACCTAATTTCTGACCCCCGTATATTTGCAGGCAGCAGATGGCACCTTGGAGAGGGAACTGTTTGAAGAGGGGGTCAGATTCGGATGCTGGGGAATGTCAATGTACTCGCTGTCCTGTGCTTTCTACTCCCTTATCATCGAACGTCTGATTAAGAAGTTTAGGTAAGATTGTAATTAATCAGTTCCACAGAGAATCACCCTTTAGAAGCTGATAGTTGGATGAAGATTCATAAAATCCCATAACTGGATCAAATTGAGTCTAACATCGAGATCCTTGCACCAGGGGAAGAAATATATGCGTCAGAATAAATTTGGACAGATTACGTCCTCTACAGCTCAAATATTAAACGAAGCATTCGAATTAAATTTTGTTGGATTTGAGGTTTTGACTGCGTTGAGTCTGAAGACGGTTTCTGTCATTAAACCGAGGAGCGTTTTCTCTGTTCAGGGCTCGGAATGTGTACATAAGTGGACTGCTGTTGGACAGCGTGGGGATGTTGATGCTGGCTGTAACCAGACACAGATATGCAGTGATTGTCTTCTCGGCTTCAGCGGGCGTCATGTACTCGACTCTGTTCACGATGCCATATCTCCTGGTGGCACATTACCACGCCTCAGGAACGGTGAGTGAAAGCTGTGAAATGCGATGAGACTTTCTTCCTGATACTTATATTCATTGATTGTGCATTAATTGGTGAATTCAGTGGCGCTTTGTTTCTATGAGCTCCAACGCTTTCACGCAATCCAAACATCTTTTCTGATAGAAGTTTAACGACGTTTCAGAGGTTCTTGCTGCCTCCATCATCAGGCAGCAAATTTTATTCATTCTCATGTGCTCTGGATGTGCAGATTCTATGCTCTTTTTCATTACAGTTTAAAATAACAAAGGACGGAGAAGCCGTTCGTGACGCCCAGCTCCGAGGACTGGGGACTGACGTCGCAATCGTGAGCAGCATGGTGTTTCTAGCCCAGTTCATTCTCTCCATGTGCATGGGGTCTATTGTGAGCCTGTTTGGCACCACGACCACAGTCGTCGGCGTCGCTGCCATCCTCAGCTTCTTTGGAGCCATCGCAGCCTCTCAAGTTATGTACCTGGAACTGTGAATTTCTGCAGACGAACAACGAACTTCTCCCATTTCAGTGTAACATCTCGATATACTCGTGGTCAGCCATAATAGTCGCAGAGCTGCACCTCAACCACGGGCCATGTTTCCTTGTGTTACCTGGCGCCGCCTCTGGGGCCCCCCCAGCCTCCTCTACAATGGGTACCGGGGACCTTTCCCGGGGGTAAAGCCGGCCGATGCGTGATGCTGACCACTCACCCCATCTGGTGCCGAGGTCGAGAATGAGCAGGAGCTATATCGCCTCTCCCCCCAAGCGCATAAATGGCGTTTAGTGGGACAGTTTTACTTTTTTCCCTTTAACTATTCTTCCATATTGGAGTTTCTTCCGCAGACTTTGTATTTCAAATTATGCCGCAAATAGAAGTCGTAATTTGTAAGATAAGACGAACTTACTGGCCACAAACCATGACTTATTATTCTGTCACCAGACATCCCTTCCAAAAACTGTTGACCATTCGTGGTGTAAGGAATTGCTGAATTTTTATACCTTCCTCCTTGTTTTCTCTGGTTCCTGTTTGGTAAGAACAAAATTTTTGTAACAGTTTTCTTGTTCATAAACGATCTGACTTTGTTAATAAGCTCATGGACTCCTGCTGTGCTTAGAAATTAAGTTTAAATTTTCACCAACACTTTTTAGCAGAAACACATTACATGTAAATAAAAAGTTCTGCGATATATGGAACGAAATTCAGGCACACAGGAACAACCAGTGCCTAAAACAAAGTTAGACACAGTCGCATTTTTGCGTGGAAATTCTTTCGTGGCATCGGATGTTATTTCTTGATGGCGAGTCGTGCAGTTTCTACCAGGAGGTGACAATTGCATTCTGATTTATCGCTGAATGCACCGGAGTGTTCAGTTGAAAATATGGGAGACGTCTCGAAGGTCCGGAACTCAAGGAGGTTCCGGGAATCATTATCCCATTGCAAATAATGCAGCAACAAGCACAGTTTAACATAAATCAGAGTTTATTAAGAACATAATGAAGACGTGACAATCTGCAAAGAAACATCTTCATAAAAGCTGCCATATTTACTGACAGACGCCATGAAATTAAAATGTATTTTGCAGAGTTACAGATGGAATTAAACAGTTGCCATTTTCTTTTATGGTCATAGTATTTTATATACCAGTATTATGTTGGACATTGTCCATGTCAGAAGTGTATTTTATATACACGGTTTCTAGGATTTGGCACTCCTGCCCCATCAAGTGATTGGTGGGCAGATCGTCTTCATTTATTTTTTAATTTCAGTGGCAGTGATTTGATTTCAACCCAGAATTTTACGAATACCGGGATAGTATGCTAATAACTAAAGTAACTGAGCCTTGTTTAGTATTAAATATTCCTGAGTTTGATATAAAAAATCACGATTACAATTTTTTTAAAAAAATGCGAACATAATGAAAACCATCTATACACAAACTTAAAATATTAAAATTATTTTAAGTTTGTGTATAGACGGAAAATAAAAATATTGTATCAATAAAACACAAACATGACGCAATTGAGATATAAAATAAAATAAAATAATGAAAACCAATTAACAGAAGATTGAAAAAATGCCAAATCCTGAAACAGATTTACCAGAGACAATATAAAATGTCCATCACAATAAATGAACCACCATCACAAAAATTTAGAGAATCATGTTCATTGAAATTCTTCTGTATAATAAAAGTCTTGTGTAAGTGTGAAAACTAAATGGCGTTCTCTTTTAGCAAGAACCAAACTATTAAAATACAAAAAAAAAAATCAGGAACTTCAACCTACTGTTTCCGTTATTTATTAACAGAAGCTTCAACATTTCACTTCAGGTACTTTATAAAGAAAGTCCTAGTTCAGGTTACCACGTCGTACAAAGAAATGAAATAGCCGACTTAAATTCTACCATGGCCTTGGTATTTTCAATTACATGAAAATTAGTAGAGATTGAAATAATTCCTAGCACGTGGCTCAACAAATTCCCACTAATTTCTTATTGAATGTGGCACAAAGTTTCTGTCAACAAAATCTTTCGGAATATAATTTAAAACAAGGAATGTCGAAGTGTCATAGAATCTTCTGCCTTAAAATATTCCGGTATCCTGACTTCTGTAAAAGTACAGGGCGTACAACCATTTAAGCTACAACCTGCGTCGTAAACAGAAAAAATAATTACGTAATTGTGATTGTTTCGCCTTACATCACAGAATAAAGAGTCAGCTTTCCAGTCACCTCTGCATCTTTGACCAGTTATTTTAATAACAAATAGATCTAAGGAATATTCAATTATATAATTTGTGAATCCCCTTAATATTCTCAGTTACAAACTTGTTTTTCTTCATAATAGTACGTGATAAAATACTACGTAAGATTTGCGGTTTTCACGGCCGTGGTGTCTGGTAGATTTCCACGTGGGAGTGCGTGCATGAGATTGTGTGTTTGTTGCACGAATACAGATAGAAATATTATCAGTCCATCATACATGAAGATATAAAGCTCTTTAGTCTTTAAAAAGAATTGCATTTCAGGGGTTAAATAATGAAGAAACATTTTTGTGGTCCTATCATTACTGGAGGAATCTAATCTGCATTGCCATCAGTTCCACATCCTGCAAGTAAGTAGAACTGTCCCCCACTAACTACAGAGAAAATCAGATGTAGGATTGCCTGTCAAAACTGAGAAGTGAATGTGTCTAAATTCGCAGTACATGAGGCACCCAGCTGTTGATGGAATAATCACGCTTTTTAAGGGTTAGCTGTTTTGGACAGTAGATCTGCATCCTACAGAAACACAAGACATTTGACATAAAAGTCTGTAACCAGAAACTCTTTGAAGTATGGGCTTACACGAGCAAAGTAATGTTTGATAGCCTCTGTTGATCTAATATCTACTGTACATGGTATAAAAATGTGGCTTCGAAGAAGTGTGGAGGATGTTGTACATGAATGATCAGGGAACTTTACAGCTCCTTACCAATCCAGTGATCTCGAAAACAGGATTAGTTTCTTACTGTTTCTGCATAACAGAAGAAATTCCTAAACGTTTTGTCTCAGATTTATTTATTTATTTAGTGTTCTGTCTGACGACAGGTCCATATGAACAGGATCCTTCCATCCTTTTCTCGGACTGGGACCTGTTCATATACGTTCTTGGCAGATGATCCAGAAGCAGGTCCATATGAACAGGGTCCTTCCATCCTTTTCTCGGACTGGGACTTGTTCATATACGTTCTTGGCAGATGATCCAGAAGTGGTTTGCCATTGCCTTCTTCTGTGTGTGAATGGAGTAATTGTTGGGATGCCACGGAGGAAAACTCCGTGTTGCCTTGACCATGGCCTTGCCCAACACAAGTTATAAATTCGGGCACCTCCGGGAATAAAGAAAGAAATGGGATGTTGTGAGTAGAGATCATGGCAATATCAGAAGAATGTGCTAGAGACACAAGAACATGAGATAAATCACATTCATCTGCAGCTGAGGGGAATTTATAGTTCGAATTTTAAAATTCTGAAAACCCTGAATTAGTTAAAAACTGGAGAACACACAAGCTATGTTGAGGTAGTTCCCATTTAAAAATTTTAGCTGTTAGTTGTTCATTTAATTTTTTTTATCGTTTATTTCGTCAGGCCATTGGCATAAGACACACGAGTAACATGTGGCTGTAGAATTACTTACGTGTAAAATCTTAGCTTAACTACAGCGTAACTGGAAGTATCGCATTACAATGACTTTCTCCTTAGAAACACATATCCAGTCTGTCAGCATATTCCATAACATGTAAGACATATTCAGCTATCGAGTAGAATGAATGGCACGATATAAAGTATTTAAGCTTCATCCTCAAATGCTGAAATTTTCCCAATTTCCTAATTTTATTTGGTAAGTTTTTGTACAATTTGATTCCTATATTCACAACACTTTGTTACAGGCACCTGTCCTAAAAAAAAGTGGACATGAAGATTCAATTAATGACATCCATTTTGACTTTGAAGTTCTGTATTTTGTTCCGAATTCAGTATGTTTGTTTTTATATAACAAAATTTTTAAATATATATAAACGAGCTACTGGGAGTATTTGTAGATCTCTTATATCTTTAAAAAGTTGTCTGCATGAAACACATTCCCCCCACTTCAATGATTATTTATAAGAATCGCTTTTACAGTTTGAAAATGCTTTACTCCAACCTCAGAAAATTGCGCCATACTCGAATGATCATGGAAATATGCGAAATAAATAATCCTTATCACATGCAGACTCGTTACATGATTAATGATCTTATCATGTAATGACTTTTAATAAGTTTAGATGTGGTGATTGTACATGTACATTCCAGTTCCTTAATGTGTGTGCCCAGAAATGTTATTTCTGACTTGCAATAAAAATCCATACTATCAAATTCTGCTTGTGGTCTTAATGAGTTCTTCTTTGACTGGTATAAAAAGACACTGATATTGTTTTCCTACATTTATCCTTAATCTGTTTGTGTCGAACCATGAAACCAACTCTTCCATAGTCTTATTAATTTTTTGTTTAAGGATTTTACCTTCGTGTACCGTTATTGGCATGCCAATGTCATCTGCAGATAGAACTACGTTGCCTCCTTGAATGTTTATCGGCGGGTAATTTGCATATGACAAGAGCAGTATTGGACCGAGGATTATAACCTGAGGTAGGCAACATTTCGTCTTTGGATGGAATGATATTTTTTCGCATATTAACCTCTATCTGTCATTCTGGTTTATCTCGACAGCTTGTGATGTGATAGATATGATTCGAACCACAAATATGCTGGGCTTCTAACGCCACACGATGACAGCGTGGAAATTAACATTTCATGCTTAATAACATCGTAAGCTTTTGTTTATTCAAGAAAATTCCAATTGGAATTTTAACAGACTCCTGTACGCTTTACAAAAAAGAGTGTATTGGTGGTTTTGTTGATCGTTTCTTCTTAAGTCTGTTTTGGGCTTGTGTCAATATATTATTTTTTGTTACAAAAGAAATTAATGTATTGTACATTAATTTTTCTAAAATTGTTGAAGAAATAGACAACATAGATATTGGCCTATAATTCTCTATGTCAGTTTTTCGTTATTTTTTTCTAAAGA